AATAAATCCCATAAACTACATTCTCATTCATGAAATCATTATGTGATTCTAACCATTTGTTGACTGAGAAAATATCATATCAAATCTTATATGTTCTCACAATAGGTATTAACATCTTAATTGGTCAAATCAAGAAGTAAATGAAGTGCAAGGTTTTAAATCATCACAACTCCTTCCAACATTAAAGCCTAATACTTCACACAACTTCCTTTAAATATTTAATCACTTATCATTTTAAGGAAAATATAATAAAATCTACTCAGAATCCATGGAGAAAACACAACCACACATGAGTTTAAAAGTAAAAATCATGCACACAAATAAGAAATCTAAAAAATAAGAAATCTAAATTAAAACAAATTAAAACCAATTGTAGTCATAAAGATAAACACTTATCTCAAATACCCTCCACAAAATGTCTTGAAGTTCTTTCGAATCATCTTCCTTCACTCACAATACAAATTAAACTCAAAATAAAATGAAAAGGTGGCAAGCGGCGGTGGCAATGGGCGGTGGCGATGGCGGAGATGGGCGGTGGCGGCAGTTTACTTAGATGAATGATGGTTGTAAAGTTTGATGGGTGGATGGTCTCTTCTCTTGGAAAATCTAAGTCTTTTCTTATAAAATTCCAATGGGTGTCTTGGTGTATCTTCAAAAAGGTGTCTTGATTCAATGAATCTTTTAGAATTTACCTCCTCGAAAGCCAATTGAATAAATTTTTGTGTTCATGGGCTGTTTCCCACGTTTTTATCAAGGGTTGCTTCAAACACCTCTTCAAAAATCCGCTCAAATTAAATATATCATCAAGTAACTACTTCTGGCGCTTAAGCACGTGGGACCTGGCGCTTAGGCAGAGAGTTTTTGGCGCTTAAGCGTCAGACTTGGGCGCTTAGGCGTCCTAGTTCATTTTTGCGTCTTTCTTCATTTTTGCTCCAAATTTGACCCTTTTTCACTCTTTTTAGCATTTTTCATTCATTTGATTGTACCTGTAAGAAAAATACACAAATATATTTCATTAAAGTGCAATATCTCAAAAATTGGTATAAAAATATGTATAAAATCACAATATATTTTAGGTGTATCAGCGCCTAAGCGCCCAGAATTGACGCATAAGTGCCAGAAGTTTCGTGCTTAAGCGTCAGATACCCGCGCTTAAGCACCAGAAGTAGTTATAAGATGAATTATTTAATTTCAACACATTTTTGAAGAGGTGTTTTAAGTTAACCCTTGGTAAAAACGTCGGAAATAGCCCATGGACACAAAAATTCATTCAATTGATTTTTAAGGAGGCAAATTCTAGAAGATTAATTGAATGGAGATACCTTTTTGAAGAGACACCAAGGCATCCCTTGGTTTTTTATAGGAAAAGACTTAGATTTTCCAAGAGAAAATGTCAGCCACCCATCAAATTTATAGCCATCATCATCTAAGTCGTCGCCACCGCTGCCGACCACTTTATTTTTCTTTTTATTTTGAGTGTTTAGTTTGTATTGTGAGTGAAGGAAGAGAATTCAAAGGAACTTCAACACATTTGGTAGAGAGGATTTGAGATAAGTGTGTATCTTTGTGACTACAATTGGTTTTAATTTAGATTTATTGTTTGTGTGCATGATTTCTACTTTTAAACTCATGTGTGGTTGTGCTTTCTCCATGGATTCTGAGTAGTTTTCTTTATCTTTTTCCTTAAAATGATAAGTGATTAAGTGTTGAAAGTAAGTTGTGTGAAGTATTATGCTTCATTGTTGGAAGAAGTTGTGATGATTTGAAACCTTGCACTTCATTTACTTCTTGATTTGACTAATTAAGATGTTAATACCTGTTGTGAGAACATGTAAGATCTGAGATGGTATTGTCTCAGTCAACAAATGGTTAGAATCACATATTGATTTCATGAATGAGAATGCAGTTCATGGGGTTGAGTGCAAATAAATAGGGAAATAAACTTTTCAAAGATGTAGAATTAGAGGACTTTAGAGTGATAGGCTAAAGCCCCCAATTTGATTTATAGTTTAGGTTTTGATACGAGATGTTATCCCCCAGGTGGAGGGAGAAGAGGGAACTCTAGAGTGATGGCTAGTATCTTCCCTACTTAGCATGAGGGGTTTAAAAATTTTAGGTTAAAACTATTCAAACTATAGATTAGACAATATTCTTCATAGCATCTCTAGTAAGGGTAAAGAATATTATTGCTCTTATTTGACACAACTTGCTCTGTAAAGAATATTATTGCTCTTATTTGACACAACACATTTAGAATACTTTCACAACAGAATTTCTCTACTTATTACTGATTCAAAAAGATATTTTAGATATTTTATTTATATCATCTTCATCTTGCAAGTACTTAGTTAAGTTAATTAGTTGCTTACTTTATTTTCATAAATAAAAAAAAATTATGACAAAAAAAATCAAATTTGCATTCCTATTTTAACATATTAAGTTTAAGTAAGAATATTTTGCTAAGTAGATTTTTGTCATCTAAAATTTCTAAATTTCTAAAAAGCATATAGCAATTTTTCTTGTGGGATCGATTTTCGAGGCTTAATCAAAAAAGTCCTATATTACTTAATAACGATATGTATACTTGTGTATTATCTCCTATTTAAATATTATAATTATATTCTTATTTGTTTCATAGTGGAAAAGTTACCTAACTTACTTACCTAGCTTTTGTTTTGTTTTGGATCAAGTTTTTGGATTTGTTGCAAATTAAGAATAACTATTAAAGAAATTAAACTATAATTGCATACATCGTATTTTACTTCTATATAGAAAGTCGGGATCAAGCCCCCTCACAAAATTGGTGGTCAAGCCTCCGGCCAGTCCCTCCAAAAAACTGACCCTCACCATCAAGGACTCAGACCTCCTTGTTTATTGCACCATGGTTCCAAGGGAAGGAGGTCGCTGCATCATTCGATCTTGTTCAATACCAGTAGCAGGCAAAGAGTTGGACGGCTGGTATCCTTTGAAAATAACTGCAGGCAGATTACCGCAAGTTTGGCCCACAGACCGGGCACTACAGCAGGAACGAATGTTGCAACGTCTTTCGACTGCCCACCGTCCTGGTGATCCTCCTTAACAACCAATTCATTTGCATATGCTCATTGTTAAGAAACCTTTAAAGATTGGTGGAGGCCAAAAGAAGCTCTACTTACCCATATATTTATCTATTGAGGAAAGGGTCTCCAAACATATTTTCCCTTCTCTTATTGCAAGTGGCCTTCACCTCCCTGTAACAACGGTTGATAAGAGATACTGATCTCCATTTCCTCCGGCCTCATTCCACCCTCCTTGGTGCCTCCAGCGAGCAGGGTTTGTTGGCCCTCGAAGCTCACTCCCATGCAAGGCTCAAGAACCACAGCGTGCCGATGAGGGAACTTCGCTCCTACCGCACAGAATCACCAGAGGAGTCGACTTGATCAGCCGTCACAGGTTCGATCCTCGAGTGCTTTTCTTTTCTAACTTCGCTCTTTTTTAACAGAAGCTGAGGGTTTGTAGCCCACCTTTGCAATGATCTTGGAGTCCACAAAGAGCTCTCTCAAATCGTCTGACATTGAGCAATTCAATTATCCACAGAAGAGTAACAACAATGGACACAATGTCAAGCTTGTGACCTTATTTATAGAGCACGAAGATAACTAATAAATCAATTTTCTTGAATTTAGTATCAATGAATGATAATAATTTCTCTATCCTTATCGTAGTTGTCACTTTCAAGATACAAGTAAATTCGGGAACTAATATGTATATAGCAAAGTTGTTGGCATGGAAATCAAATCAATTGAACGCTCTATACGACGATCAGAAGATTGAGGCATCCTACCATCCTACAACCAACCGCGTGATCAAGAATCAACCGACACAATATGATGAGAGATCTGAATGGTTGACCATGCTTGCAGTCCCGATGAACCAGAGCACAGGCATAAACATTTGAACGCGACTAATCAACCAACCCACTTTTACCACGACTGACAAGATCGCCACTCGACCAAGCTCCTCGACCGACCGACACAAGTCTTGGTTGTCACTTAGTCAGTCGCCTCAGTCAATTGAATTCAAGCAAGTCAGTCATCTAATTACCGTCATATTAGAATTCAAATCGTAATACAGATAAAGCATTAAATTCATACGATTAATTGTACTCTCTCTTTCTCTTCCCTCCTTCATCAATATCTAACTCTCAGGATGTGTTCACAAATGACAATTTAATATTAAACGTCATATATATAATGTACACAATATTTACTATTTAATTTCACATATCATAAAACAAAAGCAGGCTTGAAGCCTTACTAATTAGTAAGGGTATCAAAACGGGTCATTATTCACAAACAGCTCGTGTTTGATTCGTTCGCTAAGCAAACAAACCGAACACGATATTTTTTTTGCCTTTGATATTGAAAATTAAAACGAGTCGAACACGAACAAAGTTTTGCTCGTTCATGTTGACTTGTTTTAGTTTGCAATAAATTATATATATATATATATATATATTAAAATAATTTACTTTGCTACAAGACAAAGATTTATAATAAATTAGAATTATTAATTTAAAAAATAGAATAAATATATATTAAATTCTATTTAAATGAATATTTTGATGTAAATAATAAGATTTAAATATCGGTCATACTCTTAATATTCTACGGCCACATTATTAGGACTATCAAAACAGTTCATTATTCGCGAACAACTTGTTGTTCACAAACAGCTCTTGTTCTATTCGCTAAGTCGAGCCGAACATAAACAATAATTTTTTTTAATGAAATGAATCAAAAATAAATAAATAAAAAAATTTTAACCAGCTGAAAACGAACTAAATTTGAACTTGCTCAAGCTCATTTACACGCATACTAATCAGTAGATATCGCTCCGGTTCAGCCCGGCCAAACCGAACTGCCACCCGAACCATCAAGGACCGGGAAATGTGGACGTATGTGGGTCCATCCCTGGTTCCTACCGCAGTAACGAACGATCAAAACGAATGAAATCGTTTCTTGTTCCCAATTGCCATTCTCTTCTGCCCTCGCGCACATGGGTTGGTTGAGATTAACGACTCCTCTCCTCTTTCAATCCAAGCTGCTCTGCATCTCTCTCTTCTACCTCCTCACCACCGTTCCTCTCTCTCTATACGTCTCCTTCTCTCAGCGCGGATGCCTCTTTCTATCTCCGACCCTCCTCCCTCACCTCCTCTTCTCCTACCCCTCTTCCTATGGCGAGCACAAGCACCGCTCTTCCCGCTTCTCACTCCTCCTGTTCTTCCCCTGTTTTCTTCTCCGGTAATCCTATTGATCCCTCCATCTATCTTTCCTCTGTTATCAATTCAAATATCCCTCATCTACCATTTCAATTTCTGTTTTGTGGCCAGATTACCGCGTCGCCTTCGAGGAGATCCACAATGTTCGCAGAAACCGGTCGTCGATGAATTCTTCCGACTCTGTTTTGAGTTACATGCAGGGGAAAGGTGAGACTTTTGCCGGAAATTTTTCCACGCAGAGGAGAAGATCGTTTTTCGTTCACGGAGATGATCGGATTCCCGTCCCCTGCGGCTTCCTTCGCGAATTTTCTGTAAGAAAATCAGGTTTGTGCCAATTCTGAATCAGAATTCATTTCATGGTAAGATTATTGGTAAGGATCTCCCTTTTAGACAGAGTAGCCATGGAGCAGTGCGGAGGCGTGGTGGTTGTTTCAGCGATCTTCGGCGATCACGACAAGATCCGGCAGCCGAAAGGTTTGGGATTCAAGACGCTTGAAGCCGTTTGCTTCTTCATGTTCATAGATGATTCCACTCTGAAAACCCTCAACTCCCACAACATCCTCGCCGGAGCTGATAGCGTCATGATTGGCGTTTGGAGAATCATCCGCCTCTCTGCCGGCGATCTCCCTTATGACAATCCGGCGATGAATGGAGTCATTCCGAAGTACCTCGTTCACCGTCTCTTTCCCAATACAAAATTCAGCATCTGGCTCGACGCCAAGCTGCAGCTCACTGTCGATCCCCTGCTACTTCTTCACGCCCTTCTGATCTCCAAGGACGCCGATATGGCCGTTTCGAAGCATCCTTTCAACGTTCACACCATGGAGGAGGCCATGGCGACGGCGAGGTGGAGGAAGTGGGGCGATATCGAGTCTTTGAGGATTCAAATGGAGACTTACTGTGAGAACGGGCTGCACCCATGGTCGCCGAGCAAGCTACCGTATACAAGTGGTATCCATGAAAGCAAAATTGCCTCCTTTTTATCCAAAAAAATGATCAAAATTGTATCTTTTTAATCCAAGTTGAAGTATTTTGATCCGTTCTTTTACTTTTGAAGATGTGCCGGACACGGCGATGATAGCGAGGAGGCATGGAATGGCAGCCAATCTATTTTCTTGTCTGCTGTTCAACGAGCTTGAAGCATTTAATCCGAGGGATCAATTGGCGTTCGCTTATGTGAGGGATATGATGAGCCCTCCGATCAAGATAAACATGTTCGAGGCTGAGGTTTTTGAGCAGGTAGTGGTGGAGTACCGGCATAATTTGAAGCTGCAGGGTGGAGTGTCGGCCATGGCTGCTGCGAGGCCTATAAGGAGGGCGGTGCCGGTGGATATCAAAGGGAGCAAATGCGAGAATTACCTTCTCAAGATGTGGGGAGAAGCCATTGATGATAACGGTGGAGGTTAATCTTGAGATTGATTATAGAATTCTTTGCTTAGGTTTAGATTAATAAAGGAATTAAGCTTCCAATGAGGAGTTTTTGAGGTTTTGTTTGGTTGGAGTGAATGTAAAAACTTCTGTTTGGGAAAATAGGATCACTGCTCGTCTCCTCCAATTCAACGAACAAACGCAGTTGTTTAAAGAAATTCGGCGGATGTTCCCAAATTTTCAAATGAAACCTTGGATTCGAGATTATTGTTGTGGTGGGATGGTACAGTTAAAACATAGGCATTTTTTTGTTTAATTGTTGGTTTTTTTGTTCATTAGAGTTCAATGAATAATGACAATATAAAGGAAGTTTAATAATTTGTGGATGCTTTGTTGATGATCCATAATTCTATTTTTATTTCATTTTGCTAGAAGGAGAGCATCCTTTCTTTCTTGAGTCTTCACATTTAAATTCCATTGAAATGTATATGTGTATATATATTGCCAAAATAATTAGATGATGTTGATAATCAACATACATGTTTGCTTGCTTAAAGACAATTTTTGCATGCAAACACCTATAATATTTAAAAGGAAGATTCACATGCATAACACTCAACTTTTATGTATTTACTTGTCAAACACCTATAATTAATTTTTTACATATATATGTTAGCTTATCTTTGCAAGAAACAATATAAATAGTGATATTTTTTATGTGATATGAAAGAATTGAGTGGAATAAATGTAAAAATTAAAATGTAAGGTGTTAGATGTTTAAATACATAGGAGTTGAGTGGTATGTCTGTAAATGGCTTAATGCCCCTATTTAAACTTGAGGTGTGAATGTGGAACCAAAAAAAATTGTTTCTATAATTTTTATTTTGTTTTGTAAAATATAGTTTAATATTTGTTGATAAGATAAATAGTTTATTGCATTTAACAAATAATAATGAATGATTTGAGAATACAAGTTACAATATTCTGACAAGCTAGCATATATATTTGAATTTTTTGAGGCTATGATATTTTTATTATATTAATTTTTTTTATAAATTCATGATCTAGTCATTAAAATTTTACTTAGTTCTTATGCTTGTTATCACTTACCATTATTTTAATGCAACATATCCAAGTCCACTTGTGAACTTGTGAATCTATTCTTTTCAACAAATCTTCATAAGGAATATTGTCAGCATAATCTTAGCAGATAAAACGTTACTCATATATTTGAGATTCAATCCATAATTTAAATGGATAATATTTATCCTATTTTGGTACTTTTCATCCTCCAACACAACTGAAAGGCTATTCTATAGTTGGAGTGATTAGTCTTCAATTATTCATATCTAACAATACGTAATATTTATAGGATAATTTTTTTTTGTATGGATTATGTTTATTTGGAATCATGTGACTCTCGTGAATAAATTATATCCAACTTCTTCATCATGAACACCACATTCATATAACAACTCTTTCATTTCTATGAGAAAAAGAATGATTTTATTTTGTAGAACTCAATATAGTATATCAACATCATCAATAATATCAAACTCAAAAGATATCATCAAGCTCTATAAGTGACATATCATTCAAATATAACATGTATGATCAAGATAAATGAAGAGGAAAATAATCACTTACGAAGGCTAATTAACGCTGGCTAAAATACTAAACAAGAAAGACACGTTAAGAAGCTTTTTCAAAAAAAAAAGTGAAATGGTCCATGATAAAGAAAGATATGAGGAGTTGTAATTGTTGGTGATTCATTTGTTTTCCATATGAGGATTTTTTTTGTATAATATTACAATAATTACACAATATAGAACAAAAATGAATCTTTCTAGTAAGTTAATTCTTTAAGTTAAATTGTTTGTTGTTTAACATGAAGCAAAGTCATTATGTTATTATAAAAATGTTAGAGACTATATATGTTATGTAAGTTAAGTTGTAAGAGTATTATTAATGGAGTTTTTATCATAAATAATTTTTCTTATTTAAATTTATAATGGCTAGTTAAGGATAAAGAACTTTGTAACTGAGTGGGTGTTAAAAGCATGCTTTATAAGTCAAATGAGATTTGTTGGTAAAAAAAAACATATATCGCTTCTAATGAACAACATGGTTTTGATGGGAGCACCAAAAGGATAAGTATTGATATAAATCTTTTAATAAACATAAAATATGATCATTTTAAATATAACTATTTAGATATCAACAATAGCATCTACTAGCACAATAGATGTAGCCCAATGGTTGGTGTTTCTCTATAGTTAGAGGTTATTCTCATTTAAAGTAATTGAAGAATATGATGTTATTAGTATCTACAACAAGCATAATCTTCTAGAGGCTAAAATTAAATTTGATGAATTTGTAAGACTTCTATTCTTTAGTAGTTCTTAAGAGATAAAAAGTAGTTTTTTTTTTTTTTTTTTTTTTAAAACTTAAGAAAATGGTAATGTATAGTAGAACTATATGCGGTGTTTTTAAAAAAAAAAAAATAATTTTTTTTTTTTTTTTTTTTTTAAAACTTAAGAAAATGGTAATGTATAGTAGAACTATATGCTTAAAGCTTTCATAATGGAGATAAATGTAACTTGGAAATATTTTACTTGTTATTTCATTAGAGATTTTTTTTCTTATCTCAAGTGCGATGACTATTAAGCATGAGTATATCACCATTCAACATAGATATAAGATAGTAGCACAATATAGATAAATTTATTTGTCTAATTGTGTTTGCACCATGCCCTTCTTAATGATGAAGTTATAAAGCTAAATGCTTTGAGTAGGAACATAAGTGGAGTTTTGAGTGTCTTTAATAATATATGAATTACCACTTTATTATGACATGATTGAAAAAAACTCGCTATGAGAAGTTCAAAACTTAGGCAACACAACTGAAAAAGAATGAAAAAACTACACCTAACTTTAATAATGTTTTCAATCATCATAATAATTATAATAATCTAACTCTTAGAAAAAATAGATATCTACAAATTAAGGTTTGCAGTGGCTTTTGTGTTAAGTGTTTTGGTAGATTTTACCAAAATATCAAAAAACTCCATCACATGGACCTTGTTAATTCTTTCAATTACAGGTCATTTCTCCATTATGCAAGTGTCTTAGCAACCTCAAAATCAAATGATCTTAAGCTTGTTAGATTCCACTTATCAAGCCACTCGATCTAATTATAAGCGTGAAAAAATTAGGGATTGTTTGGCCTTCCAATATGCATCAAAGCCTTTGATTATATTTCAAGTAGTTGAACTAGGCTTATTTAGACTCTTATTGGATCACTTTCAATGTCATTAGGCTTATTTTTTCAAGATGCCCAATTTAATAGAAATTTTTTAAAACTAGAGCATATATGATCTTGAATTTGGATTTAGATTATCACTTACTCAAAATGCATCAAGACTTGTGCATGGTCATATAAATTACTTAGTGACATATCAATTTCTCCTTTTTTTGGATTTTGATGCTCATGTAATCCAAAAATATGTAGCAAATCGTTAAAAAGACTCAATAATATTTTTGATGTTCTTGAAATTCACACGTCAAGAAAACAATAATCTTTGAATTTTCAAACCATCAAAATCTACTCATAGATACTTCATTTGAGTTTTTAAAATCCTAAAATTTAGTGTGAAATGTCAAAAATGATGGAATAATTTATTATCAATGAATGTTTGATCATGATATCTCTGTCATCGCTGATAGCATTCATGCATGCACAACCACATAGGAATATTTTTCCCACGCACATGTACATGCACACAAGTAGATAAGCACACTAGCACATTTGGTTGTGTCTATGGAAGTAGCAAGGTGCATGGGTGAGCACGAGCATATGTGTGAGCATATCGTGCACATAATTGTGTAGGTGTGTGAGAAAAGAGACATGAAGGCATGCATTTGGGAGCAATGGGTCTAGCATACACAAACATGGGCTTAGAGTGCCTGAAAGGGCACCCGCGGATGCATTTATGTGCAGGCGCAAAGGCACATATTTGGATATAGTTAGGTGTATGGGTGCAAGAAGGTGTGCATGAGGCACTCACTAGTAGATGCTGACACATTGATACATTTGTTTGTTCATGTATGAATATGTGTATGGGGTATTCCATGCATGCAACAACATGCAAAAGTGGTTGTTTGCATGCTCATGATGATTTTTTTGGCAGTTGTTGCAATACTAGAAGCCTGTCCATTAGAAATACCTTTTGATATGTGGGAGATTTTACTACTTTTTTGAAGCTTCAAAGTTTATCTTAATATATAGGCTAGTTTTTTTCTTATTATTTTAAAGATGTTATTACATATGCATCCCTGTGTTATTGCTGTGTATTTATCTTTTGGCTATTATTGTTTATTCATCCCCCAAGCTATTGTCATATATTCATAGCCAAGTTGTTGTGGTTTTTTCATCTCCAGTTTGTGTTGCATATTCGTCTTCAGTTTGTTGTTGCCAATTCATCCTTAAGTATGATTGTTTGTTCTTCTTCATCATATTTGTTAGCTATTCTTCTCCAGGCTATTGTTTCTTATTCATCCATTTTATGTTGTTTTATGATAATATTCGAGTTATTGTTGCATGTTTGTCTCCAAACTATTGCTACATGTTCATCTTCAAGATGTTATTGTATGTTCTTCCATGGCTTATAATTGCATGTTCATCTTCATGTTATTATTGTATGTTCATCTTCTGGTTTTTGTTGTATATTCAGCCTCGGGTTATTATTATGTTTTTCTAATAAGAGCACTAAACTATCTTATACTAAAGAACTCAGATTTTATTTTTTGGGTCTTCATGTCGAAAATATCCTAACCACTTATATAATATATATATATATATATATATATATATATGTGATAGAAAATCTCATATTTTGATAATATGTTCACAATTAGTAGTAATATTTTTATCATTTTTTGTAAAAAATAATTATTCAAATGATACAGTGGTTATGCTGCTAAATTTATCCGCTCGAGCTTGTTATCAAGTGCCTTGATATCTCATAATTTATGAGATGAGCATCTTTCCTGTTCTATGATTTCTGCTTACTCATGAACTAGAGACTATTTTATCTGAGTATGAAGCCTTTCTTTCTCAATTCTCATGTGAGCTATGACAATTATTGTTAGATTGATTGTTTGTTTTAGAAAACATGATGCAAGGATTTTAGCAACGATAGACATATATATATATATATATATATATATGTTTATCTAAGGCCATATAACTTTTAGAAGTAAATTTTTTGGTCTTTCAAAGAGAAACCCCCTTTAGAATTATACTTGTAGATTTTTTCTTTATGTAAATTTGAAAAAACTAAAGAAGCTACTTATTCCTCTTTATATCATAGCATAATAT